TTTTTACTAATTTCATTTTTCATTAGTGAGAAGATGAAGAATGAATTAGGTAAAAACATTACCATGAAAATGAGAGCTATTTTCCTGAGATAAACTTAGAAGGTGAAAGCTTTAAAACTTAAAAAATGTGACATTATTTTAGTTATTAAATAGAAATTGTGTGCTGAAAGCAATTAATTAATGAATATTACACTATTGCAGTAGATTATGGTAAAAAGAATGAAACCAAAATCTAATTACCTCACTGGTCAGTGAGCAATGGTTATTGATTAAGCATCTGTGTGTAGTTGGTTTTACTAAGTTCCAAGTAAAGTAATGGTTATAAAGATGAAATCCATTAAATATCTCATTGTAATATGTAAGCATAATGAAGAAACAAGGCTTACTTACGAGGAAAACCACTATCCAAATCAGATCTTGCTCTTTGTTGAAATCTAATAAACTTTATAATGTTCTTACGGCTTGAATATGGTCCTTGGATTTAGACTAGCTCAGGATCTATTCTTGGCCCTGCCCCTTCCTAGCAGTGTGCCTGGGCACCTCTTCACTTCTCCGCCTCTTGGTTTACTCCCTGAAATACAAGGATATTGGTATATGGCAAAGTTGTTGAAGTGATGTCATAAAGTATTTAGCTAGTGCTGTGTGGTACACAAGACATGGTAGCCGAGTTTAGGTCTGAGCTTCGTGACATGATCTCTGTCTTAGTCACCCGTCACTTTTATGATTTCTGTGTTTGGCACATAGCAGATATTGAGATGAATATATACTTAATTATGGCCCATTTTGTTTTCTACACTAAAAAAATAATTTTATTTGACATTTGTGTGTTTTTGGTCATCTTTCCCTTTTTTTTTTGCATCCTTTCTTTAAGAAAACACCATTAAATAATCAGGCAGAAACCTTAAACTAGTCTTCTCTCTCAGGATTTATTTTTATTAAAGATATTTTTATTTATGTGTGTCTGTATATGTGTGTGTGTGTGTGTGTGTGTGTGTGTGTGTGTAAATCCAGTTTCATAAATAGCTTAAATAAATGCAATTTCTTTTGAGCTGCTAATTGTTTACAATCAACCATTTTCACAGTACTTCATTAAATACTTTGCAATCTTTTCAATAGTTGTAATTATATGTGCTGCATTTTGAAACAAATTGGAGTAAAGCATCCCGTGAATCAGGATTATCAATACCAAGCATTGCTCCAGATGTTGGCACAAGTTGAAATCTAAGCTCCACAGTTTTTTTTTAATTTATTTTTTTCTTAATTGATTAAAGTATTACTTATCCTTATCCTCCCCCTTTGCTCCCCCACTCATGTGCTCACCCCCTCTGGTGTCTGTGTACACTGATTAGGCTTATATGCATGCATATAATTCCTTTGGTTGCTCTCTACCACTTATCCCCACCCTCCCCTATCTTCTCTCTGAGGTTTGACGGTCTGATCGGTGCTTCTCTGTCTCTGGATCTGTTTTTGTTCATATAACTTAACAAAAGGAAGATAAACAACCCAATCAAAGAGTGGGCAATGGGCCGAAGCCGGTTTGGCTCAATGGTAGAGCGTCAGTCTGCAGACTATAAGGTCTCAGGTTTGATTCCGGTCAAGGGCATGTACATTAGTTGCGGGCACATCCCCGGTAGGGGGTGTGCAAGAGGCAGCTGGTCGATGTTTCTCTCATTGACATTTCTAGCTCTCTATCTCTCTCCCTTCCTCTCTGTGAAAAATCAATAAAATATATTAAAAAAAAAAGGGGGCAATGGACCTAAATAGATGCTTTTCGAAAGAGGACATACAGAAGGCCAAGAGACCTGCTCGAAGTCACTAATCATCTGAGAGATGCAAATCAAACCTACAGTATGGTACCATCTCACACCTGTCAGAATGTGGTATCATCAACAAATCAATAACCAACAAGTACTGGAAAGGATGCGGAGAAATAGGAACCTCGTGCATTGCTGGTATGCTGACAGGTGCAGCCACTGTGGAGGACAGTATGGAGTTTCCTCAAAAAATTAAAAATGGAGTTGCCATTTGACCCAGTGATCCCACTTCTAGGAATATACCCAAGAAACAAGAAACACCAATCAAAAAAGATATATGCACCCCTATGTTCATAGCAGTACAATTTACCATAGCTAAGCTCTACAGTTTTGATTTGACAGTTAAGTGACACTTAATGAACTTATTTTATGAAATTACTAGTTCAGTCAAACCCTTAATAAGCTGAATTATAGTATTTTTATTTTGAGCTATTTACCAAATTTCTCTGCATTGAAGGTCTGCTGAGATTTATAGTCATTCTACCATTTTCTTTTCCTAGTGATATTTCCTAGTGATACTTCCAAGATGAGAATAATCTTGTTAAGTTCGGCCTATATCGAATGAAGGAAAGGACTTTGCTCAGTTAACCGTCATAAGATAGCAATATTTTTCTGTTTCTCTTTGGCATCTTGAAACTTCATCTGGATCCAACTTTTGTATCCTTGAAATGGTTTAAGTTTAACCACCTCTAAGCTGCCATTTTCTTGCCACAACAATGAAATTACTATCATGTTTTATTCATAATGGATTATTCATGTTTAATCTAAAAAAATAGAGCCTTGGGGAATTATATCTATAGAATTGCTTCCTCCACGATCATGCCTCCAAAATGTCAGGTATGTTTTTGCTCCCTTCCTCCAGGAAGCTTCTGCATCAAGTCCATGTCAGGTGTCATGCCTGTGTGCCTCTCATGTATCATGGACTCTCCCATCAAGGCACTCACCATGTGAGGTTGCAATCTATTGATTTGTCTCTGTCCTAGTCTGCAAGTTATGTGAGAAGAGGGCCAATCTTTGTTTTGTGTTCTTCATGCTCAGCACAGTGCCTAGGAATCAAAATGTAGTGCAGTAGGTCCTCGGTTACGTCGGATATCCATTCCTAAAGTGCGATGTAATGCGATTTTGCCATCAGTGGGACCCTCCTACTTAAGCACCTACATCACCCTCATGGAGCACACACACAACAGGAATGAAGTGAAACAGTAACAAAATTTTAAAAGATAACAATTCCTGACATTTACTTGTGGTAAATAAATAATAAAAAACATAAAGCACATATGTACATACATTGAAATGACAGAACTTTTTTTTTTTTTAAATAAATGGTAGATGGCTTCAGAACCATGAAAGGACTATATATGTCAAGTCCAATGTAACCTGAGGACTGCCTGTATTTTAATCAATTAATAAAGAATGGTGTATATCACTTCTGTTCAATAAAGACGAACTTTTACAGATTCAAATGAAAACTTTCAAGTTTTAATGTTTGTGATTATTATAATGATTCTGATATATTTTTCCAAAGATACTTGTTTCTCACTATATTTGTCATTTTTTCTTCTTTCAAATAAGTAATTTACCTACTAAAATATTTCAAAGTAGAGTGAACTATAGTCTAGTTTCACAAAAATTTCGGGCAAGGTTATCTGAGACATGAGTCAATGTTATTATGGAATGAATAAGGGAAAAGTCAAAGACCAGACCAAAAATGTGTGTTTATAGAAACGCAGAAATATATGTTAACTAGCAGCCCGGTGCATGACAATTATGCACTGTTAGAGCGTGTCCCTCAGTCTGGCCTATGCCCTCTTATAGTTTGGGACCCCTTGCTTCTTACTGCCTGCCTGCTTGCTACTCCTTACCACTCAGCTCGCTGCTCCTAAGCACTGCCATGGAGGCAGTAGAGGCTCCCACTGCCACCACCACTACGCTCACCAGCTGTGAGCCTGGCTTCTAGCTGAGCGCACTGTCCACCAGGGTGAAGCTCCTGCATTGAACATCTGCCCCTTGGTGGTCAGTGTGCATCATAGTGACCAGTTGTTCTGGTCGTTCCACCATAATGGTTGCTTAGGCTTTTATTATATAGATTATTAATTTATGTCACATGGTCATATCAGCCCTACTGAAATAACCCAATGCTTCCCACTGACTTCACTGAAGGTAGAAGTCATAATCGTTCCTCACTGGTCAGCGTCATTTTATGCATCCGGGCTCTTTATTTCTGTATCTTAATTGTCCTCATTGGAATTATTCATGGGCTGCTCTGATTGTTGGTTTAAAATAAAATTACTTTTAAATTGTTATTTTGCTTTTAAAAGGTGCTTGCATTGTTAGTGTGTTTTTCCTTCTTTTCCATAACTTTACTTACTTTTAAAATTTAGCTTTTTGTTGAAAGTTTTACAGATGTCTCCTTTTCCCCCCATTGACCTCTTATTGCCCCCACACCTGCCCCCACCCCCATCCCCAGGCCTTCACCACAGTATTGTCTGTGCTTGTGCCCCCAAAGTATTCTGTTTCCCTTTTATTATGTGAAAATGAAGGCATGGATTTGTCCAGACTGGCTGTACTCACTCTATTACAAGGATACCTCTCTCTAGCTCCTTACATTGTAAAGCCTGAGTCACAGGCTCATCACATATTCTAATCATTTAATTATAGCCTTTTCTAGACCATTTTTAAAAGTAAGTAGGGCCTAGCTTTAGCAAACTTAAAACTGGGAGGAGGAGGGAGGGGAAAAAATCTTTAAGATAACCTGTATTCAACCCCAAACATAAATATGTCCTTTTCTATGATATTTAATTTTGTCTTTTGCATCTTGCCTCTATAAAAATTATAACTCAGAAATAAGTGAGTTAAGATTTTCTGTATTGAGGGTATTATAAAGGTTACACACTGCTTTTTTTTTTTCTTATATAAACTATTACTAACTCCAAATGAAAAATTTTATGGAAATGCTCTTTATTGTTTACAGCAGTTAACTTTATTTATTAATGAATAATGCTGATTTTGTTGATATTATAAGCTGTAATAGATAGCAAAATGAGTAATTATGGACATTTGTCAGTATAATGACAATCTATGTAACAAATATATAATTAGACATATTCTACGCACATCCCTCTACAAGGATTTCAATGTCAAGTTTAAACCCTCATTTCCCTTTCTCTCTGGGTGTGGTATTTCTAGGTGATGAAGAAGGTGTCCAGGAAACAGCGGAGTCAGATGGGGACACACAGCCAGAGAAGCCGGGGCAGCCTGGAGTGGAGACAGGTGACTGGGATGGACCAGGTAGGACAGATAATTTAAAATCCAACCACCTATTGCTACTATCAAAAATTCTCTGGCTTTTCTCAAATTTAATTAGGTCATAAACTCTTCATGACCTCAACACAGATCTTATCAAAGTTATTTGTTTATATACCAGTTACTTGGGAGGTTAAATAAACATCATTATCTAAAGAAAGTTTTATCTTTTTGATAAATTATAAAAAAAACAAAGGTTACCTTTGCTTGAAATCTTCCATCTTGTTTTCATTCATACTCATAGAAGAATTAGTCAACTCTAATTTTTCTTTGAACAGAAATCTTTATGCTAAATCTGTATTCAAACTGGGCATATTTTTAAAGCTTCAAAACAGTAATAATACTTCAAAGAAAAATTTTCAGTGTAGTCATATTGTAAGTTATAGATAGAGTCTCAATATGTACTTAGAAGTTTATAAAATACCAACAGATGCATCACTTAGAGTCAGGGTTTTGGCAACATTTTAATTTGCATGAATGAAAATTAAATAATTTTAAAGATTCTGACATCTTACAATTTCAAGAAAAACAAAATCTGATTAAAAAAAAAAAACTCCAAAACACCAGTATAATTGTATATAAGTATATAAAGTTCATAAAAATTCTGTGAAAAAACCCCACCTTTGTATTTGGTGCCAGCATAATTTAAAATTGATGGTATATTTATAAATGGAGACTATTTATAAATAGTCATAGAGTTTAAGGATATAAGTGAGTTTAGAAGTAATTTTAGCCATGGTTTTCAAAGCAGTAACATTTTTCATTAAGCAAGATCCCTATATTTCAATCGCATTTTCAGCCTTGCATGACTTTGCAATTTGCTCTCTGCTGTGTGTGAAGAGGAGAGGAACTCTGGTGGTAATTTTCTGAAACCAGCTGCTGGAAAATAAAATGCAAACAAAAATGAAGATACAATATATCTGATTATTAGGATGTCATTTCTAATATTACTCATGACACACATAAATGTTTGTATTCTATGTACCATAGCATAATGGTACACATGATTTTGGATGAAAATCTATAATAATAAAAGCATAATATGCTAATTAGAGCAGACAGCTGAATGACCTTTCCCGCTGTCCTGTTGGATGACCTTCTGGACAAAGCCTAGGCTGCAAAGGTTGAACCGCTTGTACAAATTTCCTGCATTGGGCCTCTAGTGTAATATATTTATGGATATATATATCCATAAAACCACAGTTTAAGAGTTTAAAAGAAAATGTAGACTTCTGTCATTCTGACCTTATTGCATAATTCTTTCTTCTCAATTCAGGGAAGACTGCCTTTGATTAAAAATGTATAAAAAATACTGAGGATTAAGTTAAAGCATAACTTCATAAAATCATTGATATGATTTTTTACTTTTAAGTGAAATAAATTTAATCTATCTGATTTAATGAAAATTTTCTTTAGTTGACAATGGAGAAATGTTTTTTTTTGTGGCACATGAATATATAGAAACTTTAAAGAAAAATGTATGCCTTTAAGCAGGTATGTATATAAGAAAAATTTTAATATATACAGTAAAATTGATAAAACAACCTCCCTATTTTGCAAAAAAAAAACAAAAAAAGTTTAATTACTTTGAAATTTTTTGATGAGGTTAATTCATAACAAAAGAATATCTGTTGGGTATTTATGTTTTTAAGGTAGAATATTTATGTCTCTTCTTTAATCAGGAGAAAGTATAGAATACTGTTTTTACTTTTGCTATTACATAGAGATTACAGCAATATTTTTACTCAGATTTTTGTTCTTCACAAAACATTATTGGTATTTTCCAAGTGTATTGAGATAACATTATCCAGGTTTTAATGACCATTTCCAAACATGTAGAATATAGCTTTGGATTCTAAGCTTTTAAGGTTCAGATTCTGGATTTGCCATTAATTTGCGAGGTGATTTTTAGCAATTTGCTTAATATCTCTGTGTCTGCATTCCCAGTTACCAAATGTAGAAAATCATATTATGGATTTTGTAGGAAGTATACACATAAAATTTGACTGATCATTATTATGGCTTTGGAATGGTTGAGTCTTGAAGCAGCATCTTTTAAAATTATTCTCAGCATTTTTTAAAGCCCAATAGTAGTATCTGTGGTTCCACAAAGGGTGAACTTCTGTAAATGCTGAGCATCTACTTTTGAATGTAACCACAAATTAGTTAAGACATGAGGTAATGGGCCAGGTGTGACTTCAAGGTCTCCTAATGTTGAGGCCCTCCCACCCAATCCAGACAGTCACCCTAAGATAGACAGTTTTCTCTAAAAATAGACAGAATAAAGGGACAAGAAAATTATCTAAAGAATTTGAGGCATAGAGCTGACATCATTTAAGATAGATTAGGATTTATCTTATTTTTGAAGAGTTTGATTGAAGACGGCTCCACAACCTTTCCTGATAGCTCATTTCAATAATGAATCAACTCCTATCTGAAGTGTTCTATTTTTATCAAATGCCAACTTTACAGTGAAAACTTTCTTTTCCTTTGTTTGTTATTCAACTAAAAGGTGCATTTAGTAACTGCTTACACCTTTGTTAACTCTTAGGATTAGGTGGGACCTAAACATAGCTTTGCAAAATTTATCTTACATTTAAAACCATTTCTGTGATGTAAAATCCCTTAATGTTTAATTATACGAACCTAATTCATAGGTACTTGTTATCCAATCTTTTGCCTTTTCATCTATATTTGCCTAAACTTCTCTTATATTATTTCTGTCTAATTAAATACCTCTTCTTTTTTGTGTGTGTGTGTGACTTTAGTTTTATTTTATTTTATTATTTTATTTTAATAAATTTTTATTGTTCATATTATTACAAATGTTCCTTCCCCCCTCCATTGTTCTCCTCCACCAGGTTCCCACCCCACCCTCTGCCCTTTCCCCACCCCCCATTGTCCTCATCCATAGGTGCACAGTTTATGTTCAGTCTCTTCCCACATCCCCCTCTCCCTTTTCCCCCAAGAATCGTCAGTTCACTCCCCTTCCATACCTCTGATTCTATTATATTCAACAGTTAATATTCATCAGATTTTATTTTTAATTTTTTTGGTTTTTAGATTCACTTGTTGATAGTTACGTATTTGTTGTTCATAATTTTTATCTTTATTTACTTTCTCTTCTGAAAGAACCCCCTTCAGCAATTCATATAATTCTGGTTTGGTGGTGATGAACTCCTTTGGCTTTTTTTTATTAGTGAAGCTCTTTATCTGACCTTTGATTCTGAGTGATAGCTTTGTTGGATAGATTATCTTTGGCTGTAGGTTCTTACTATTCATCACCTTGAATATTTCTTGCCATTCCCGTCTGGCCTGCATGGTTTCTGTTGTGAAATCAGCTGACAATCGTATAGGTGCTCCTTTATAGGTAACTACCCGCTTTGCTCTTGCTGCTTTTAATATTCTCTCTTTGTCTCTTGCTCTTGGAATTTTAATTATGATGTGTGTTGGTGTGGTGCTCTTTGGATTCCTTTTGTTTGGAGTTCTGTGCGCTTCCTGGACTTGTAAGTCTAATTCTTTCGCCAGGTGGGGAAAGTTTTCTGTCACTATTTCTTTCAGTATGTTTTCGATATCTTGCTCTCTCTCATCTTCTGGGACCCCCATAATTTTGATGTTGGTTGGCTTGAAGTTGTCCCAGAGGTTTCTTACATTATCTTCAATTTTCTGGATTCTCTTGCCTTCTAGCTTCTGTGGAGGAGTGTCTTCTGGCTCTTTATGTTCCAAATCTTTGACTTGATTCTTGCGATCTTCCCTTCTGTTTTTAGGACTCTGTATAATATTTTTTTTATTTCAGACAATGTATTCTTTATTTCTTGTTGATCCCTTATCATTTCTTGTTGATTCCTTATTAATTCTAGTTGATCCCTTTTCATATCCTCATAGGTCTTATCGATCTTTTCTAGGAAATTCTTGGAAAACCTTATAAGTGTAGATTTGAACTCTACATCCAGTCGCTTTTTGTCCTCCATTTCTTTCATTTGTGATCTATTTTGTCTCGGCATTTTCGCAACTTCCCTGATAGGGTGGGGTTTCAGGGTGAAGCCTACAGGCTTGGGTTTCGTCAGCCCCGCCCTATGCGGCTCCTGAGTCTCAGGGTCCTTCAGTACTCACTGCAAGTGCCTCTGAGGGAAAGGTGCCCTCGATTTTCGCCTGCTACCAAACAGTCTAGTCTCTCCCCCAATGAGCCCAGAACTGGGGTTCAATTCAGTTGGAAGTGGAGTTGGAGGTGGCGTTCAGAGCAGTCTGGAGCCCCTGTCTCCTTCCCGCCAGGGCAATCCCGTGGCACAGCCAACTGTCCCTTCCCTGCATGCAATGTGCACGCCTCTGGGACCTCCTTTCGCTGCTCCCCCGGGGTTCTGCCTTACAGCCCAGCTCCCTCTGTTTGAGCCTGGGTCCCTGGGGTCTGGCATAGAACTGGGGTTCAGAGCAGTAGGAACTGGGGCCCAGCACAGTTTGAGCTTTTATCTCCTTCCCGCTAGGGAACTTCAGCCAGGCTCTCATCCGCCCTCCTCTCCGGCTCCGTCCTCTCCACTTGCGCCAAGTGTCTCTGTACCTTAGGCATTTACAGCTCCTCCGCGCTTCCTTCTGGTTCTCTCCTTGCTTCTCGTTGTAGAATTTCCAGTCAGTCGTCTTTCCTGTAGTTCTGGGTAATGTCCGTTTTATATTTTAGTTGTATTATATTGAAATTGTTGTGTGCAGCTGCAGCTAGGTGTTTTCCTGTCAGCCATCTTGGATTCTCTATCTTCTTTTCTTTTATTACCCTCACAAGTTTCATGTTTTATCACCCTTGCAGTATTTCAGGTTTACCGATATTCTTATACATTTAATCAATCAATAAGTGGATAAATGGTTATTGTGTACTAACAATTTTGAAAGGTTCTAGGGAGAAGTCCAAAGTTGTAGTATGATGCTGTCTACATTCTTTTGATGCTATTTCTCTCCTTAACCTCTTTTAATTATTCCTGTGTTGCATTTAAGTCATT